TCCCCTTCTGCGCACATACCGCTGGCACACTTTGGTCTTGATGGTAAGCTGCCGCACAGGATCCATACTGAGCAGTTAGAGTGGTGTGCCGAGCCTCCCCACCTGCTGTATCTCCATCCCCACCACCGGTGCTGGCCACCGACTCACACTCATTTTCGCGCGCGCGGGAACGACCAATCGCTCCGCCACCACCATGCAGAGGCTCACAGGCACTGCGTGGCCGGAGTCGACTCCATAAGAGCAGATCCTTTTCGCTTCGCTCAGCCCGACTCTATGCTAGCGACACAGACGGCACTAGTCGCGGCAATCATTCATTAATAGCCACATACCCTATGCTGCCGCTCGTCACCGCTGCACGTATTGCGCCTGCACCGGCTGGCCCTGGACAGGCTGGCCGTGCTGGCGCTGGACGTTGTGCTGGGTCGGAGAGGCAGGATAAGAGGCCTGCGCTGGCCGCTGCGGGCTGATGACGTTGGCAGGAAGCACATCGTCGCCGCGGAGGATGAGCTCGCGGGCATGCTGGCAGTTGGCGCAGGGGAGGCAGCAGCAGACGACGGCGTAGTCGGAGAGGCCAAGCGAGGTGTTGCCGTTGTACCCGATGAGGTAGCGGTTCTTGATCCGGGCCCGGTTCATCAGCTCAGAGATGCAGTGGAGCGGGAGGCAGAAGCCCGACGAGAAAAAGTCGAGGAGGAACCAGCAGACGCCACAGCCGTAGTCCATAAACGCCGCAGGCCGGTTGTTGAGCCACGCGTTTGTCCGTCGATCCTGGCACCAGCAGCAGAAGAGGCCCAGCGCAAGCGTCTCCATGTCTTCAAAGCACTCAAACGGCTCAGTCATCCACTCAGCCACAGATCCGACCGTGACCACTCCGCCCCTCGCGTCTCCGTCTCTCATCGGCGTCGCTACAGGTGCCGCAATCGGCGTCGCCACAGGTGGCGAGCTAGGCCCACCGCCTTCCACAGGCCTCGCCACCGGCGGTGGCCTGCCTTGGTTCGACGCTCCCGCCTGGTCCGACCTGCCGGGTCCATCGTACGCTGGCGGCGGGCCCGGCTCTTGTCTTGACTGCGGTCGCTCCTTGCCTTGCCCCGACCCAGGCGGCGCTTTGTGCCGGTCCGACGACTGTGACGTGCCCGGCCTCGGTCGTGATCCCCCCGACGGCGCAGTCGCGGGCACAGGCCGTGCCGATGCTGGCGGAGGGCCTGATGCCGGGGCAGCGATAGGCGGAAAGAGAGCAGCCGATGACGATGATGACGACGAGGCCGAGTTTGACGACGACGACGGCATGGCGAGTGTGACCGGAAGAGGAGGAGGGGGGGGAGGGGGGGGGGTGGGGGGGGAGGGGGTAGGGGGTAGGGGTAGTAGTACGGGTTACGGAACG